GAATGAAAAGTGACTGCAAACGAGTACAGGGATTTGTTTTGAGGCTGTGAAAATGTTCTAAAATTATGGTGCTGGTTGCAACTTTGCATGTGAAAAAAGTTAATGAATTATACACTTTTAAGTGGGTGAATTTTGTGGTATGTGAATTATGTCAATAAAGCTACCCAAAATACTATCCCTTTGTAAAAACAATCTTCATTAAGAGCTAGACCTGTCCCACACCTCCTGACATGGTAGACTCTCTGCCCTCATTCACTGTAGTGTGACAAACCTCTTTTCTGCTGCCATTCTCACATTGGCCCCTGTGCAAGTAGCTAACAAGCATTATTTTTGGTGTTAAGGTTTGTGTCTGGATGTCCTCCCCAAAGCCTCATGCAGTCATGGGGTGGGCTTCTAGATTTTGTGACTGACTCACGGTCAAATGCTGGGATTATGGGTGTGACTGCTACACCTGCCCTTGGGCAGATAGTTTGCATACAGTGCAAGGAGGGAAATGAAGCACTTGCTGCCGATCCTCCCTTTTGTTCTTGCTGCTTTCACTGTTTTCTGCAGCCATGAACTGTTGCCCTCTGCCATGTGCCAACCTGCCTTGGAGCCAACTGACTATGGACTGAAACAAGAATTATTTGACAATACAGCTCTTAAATTAATGAATTTTAGTGCCCCCCATCCCAGTAATTTTGGTACTTGGTAAATTATGTTGGACAAAGTCTCCTAGGTCTAGTTTTTTCTCACACCTATACTTCCACAGGCAGAGATAATTCTCTGAGGAAAAAGTCATACTATTCCCAAAAGGACAAATGGATCCTATAAATGACTTCTATTATCGGGTTAAATAACCCTTAGTTTTTGTGGGCTGATCAGGCCTGCAATCTCCCAAGTGAGTGGTTGGCAAAGGCTTAAATAAATGAGATAATTGAAATGATTTCAGGGCTCCAGGAGGGTCTCACTCTCTTACAGCTTGATAGTCTCTGAGTTTTGACCAAGACTTCTCTGGGCAGTTCATGCTTATTTGGTTTACAAACAAATGAGAGGGACAGTCAAGAAAATGCGGGAATCTGAGCAGGTCTTAGGAAACCCTTTAAAGACTTCTCCAACTAATACATGATGTTAATTTAGGAGAACTATGTTATCCCCAGGAAGGCCTTCACAGTAAGAATGAAATGCCTGCAGCTGCAGTCTCCTTGTAGTTAATTGGGCTTGGATTCAGACGTCTTCAGCTGTGACCTTATCTTGTCCTTTGAGGTGTCACAGCTTCACCGGCCAATACAGGCCTCAGGGTGACCAGTGACTCACAGAGGTTTACGTACCGAGTCCCCTGCCCACCTTCAGATAAGGTGCCTAAGCTTCAGACAACTCACAAGTAAACATGGAAAGCCAATTGGTTAATATTAAATCCTGCTCAGAGCCACTTTGTAGTGGTCTCCATCATTCTTGCAAATACAGATCCTTCCCCCATACTAGGGATTAAACCCAGGGCCTTCACACTGAGCTCCATCCCGTCTTTCCTTTTTAAATTTTGAGACATGGTCTTGCACCGTTGTCTATTCCACGCTGAACACTAGTCAGGATGAATCAAAATGCACAACTGGATATTACACTGCTTTTCTTTCTACTAAAAACTGAATTCAAACTCAGACTACATAGTGTACCTCTCTAGTGTCATTTCTGATTTTCTCTGAGGCTCCTGTTCTCTCTCACTGCCCTTCCTAAAGGGCATGACAGACTGTGCTAGCAGCTAGCATTCCCGATGCATATAGTGGGCTGATTCATATAACACTACAGCAGCCCAGTGAACACTGATTTTACAAATGGCAGCTACGTGGCACAGGGAAGTTCTCTGCTAAGTGACAGAGCCAGACTCAAACAAGGGTAGACTCCACAGCCAAGGCTCGAAAGCTCCCCAGGCTGTCTCTCCTCATTGCCTCTGCTTGTACAAAACATGGCCTGATCACCTTGCTTTCTCCCTTTCTTCACTGTCACCAGTTATAGCACCTTTAGGACTTAACTCTGCCACAGCTCCGTCTTAGTTACCTTTCACTGCTAAGACAAAATATCGGACGCCCAGAATTAAGCAAGGAAAGGTTTATTAGGTCAGTTTGTGGAGGTTTCAGTCCATGATCAGCTGGCTCCAAGGCAGGGTGGCTTTACAGAGGAGAGCAGTTCACGGTGGGTGGAATAGCAAAAGCAACAGGAGCAAAAACGGAGGAGACAGCAAGCCTTTACCCTCCCTTATATTGTAAGCAGGCTCCCTGCCCCAGGGCGGGTGTAACACTCACACCTGTAATCCCAGCATTGGACCATGAATCAATCACAAACTCTAGAAGCCTGGCCCATGACTGCAGGAGGCTTTGGGGGACGTCTAGACACAAACCGTAACACCTCCCCAAGGGTCTTTTAGAGCTCAGCCCTTGGAGACGGTTTTCTCTTTGTGGTACATTTCTCCTGAATCTGCCTGAGATCCCTCACTGTGAGTTTGTAGATGGAATGGGAACCACTTTTGTACCTTACGTTCTTCCTCCAAGTCAATGTGCAAATACACATTAGCAGAATGAAGTCAAGGGCACTGCCCCTATGCTCTCACCTACCAGAGCCATTTCTATTGCCGCATCAGCCAGGACTGGAGGCCACACTTTTGTGCCCTTGCCCCAGTACCACTGGTGTTGTCAGGGTTCAGGTTCTCGGGTACTTGGTGGCTTCTCCTCTTGTGTCTTAGGACACCACTAGCATTACTTATGGAGAAACAGGGAGGACAAGAATGCCACTTCAGCCTACCACGGGGCTGTTCAGAGACTGGGAAAGTACCCTTGGCTTTGAACCAAGCAGAACAGCATTTGGATCCAGGCTGGGCCATTTGCTTACTAGCTACCATGGACTTTCCTCTGACTTCTGCTTCTTCCTTGAAGCACTAAGAGGATGTTGTTCTTCCTGGGGTGGCTGGGAAGCTTGGAGGAGTTAGTGCTTAGCTCAGAGCCCGAGGTCAGACGTATTTCTCCACGTCTTCCCAAGTGCATGACCGAGCATGACATGTACGTGCCCCCTCCTGCCTATTCTGCCCTTTCTTCTATGGTGAGGCAAATGAACACCCTTAGCACTCTTCTGCCTCTGTGAGGTGTCTTTAAGCCCAGCTGGTCCCAGGGCAGCAGCTGTCCTTTGCCTTTTTGCCTCTACAGAATTACAGATGCAGATGCTGAGTCCCACAGGGGAGAACAGCTTTCTTTTCAAGGACATGTGGCCGAAGCAAATTGGTTTCATCTCCTGTGCTGACAACAGGGATTCACCGCTGAGGGACCTGGGGCTTTGGCTGAGGGATGAGTGCCATGGGTAAAGGTTGCCTAGGGCACGCTTCTTCCTATGTGAGACATTCGAACAAAAGCACAGCTGCTTCCCTCTCGAAGTCCAAGCACGCGTACTCCCGAGTGCCACTCCACTTGTGGGTGATTAGACATTACTTCCTGTGCTGGTCATCCTCACTTAGGAAGATTAGAGAAAGAAAGGCTTACTAACAGGCTGTGTAAGAATGGATTCCAGGCTGGTTGTTTCCCAACCTAACTGTGCATGAGAAGCACCTAGTGATTCCTTGCTCCACCAAAGGCGTAGACCATCTAAGGACAGGGCAAGAAAATCTGTTCACTGAAGCTCAAAATGCAAGGTCAAGAATGATACATCTACAATCTCAGCACTCTGGGAGGCTGAGGCAAGAGGATCTCAGGTTTGAGCTCTGCCTAAGGAACTGAGCAACCTATAGAAACCATGCCTCAAAATAAAGAGGGCTGGGGATGTATCAGCCCAGTGCAAAGGCGCTGCATTCAAACCCCATTCCCACCAAAAATGAAGGAAAAGCCCCCAAAACAAAACAAAAAACCAGGACTGCACATCTGCATTTTCACATTGTTTGAAACAGCATTGTAACCAAAGACTTCTACACTGCAATCATACCCTGCCTGTACCCTCTATAGTTCCCGACATCAACAAGCTTGTAATTCATGATGAATTAGAGGTATTTATCTAAGGACACACACTGTTGTTGCCTCCAACTATAGTAGCCTTAAAAGTGGCACCAATCCACCTGACAGCTACTTTGGGGGACCCAGACTGTCAGAAATCCTGTCTTCATTGAGAGGCTCAAGCTGTGGGATCAGTCCCCGTGCCAGCTGCTTTTGGGGGCAAGGTTTTCACACTGGATGCATAAAGACAGCTAACATACAGAGCAACATACAAAGCACTATTCTCTAAGCTCCACGTTAGCTCGTTGGATTCCATGTTATGAAGAATGCAGTACTGCTTTTGTTTTACTGATGAAACAGGCCTAGAGAAGTTGGTAAGTAGCACAGCTAGAATCTGACCCAGGAATGGTGGTTCCTGGGCATACACTTCAGCACTTACTGAAATTATGAATGAAGAAAGCCCTTTGGGGATATCTGGAGTCCAGCTTTACTTATACTAAACTGGGTAAGACTAAAACAATTCATATACAGCAGTGATTAGTTGTCCATCGCTGACTGAGGACCTCTATTTGCACACAGTGAGCTGCGTGGCTCCAGGCCCTGTTGCCTTCTAACCTTCATGGATGGAGCCTCTTAATCTCACCTGCCAACCGCTCACATCTGCTACCAGCTGTGCTCTTGGCACGGGAACCTAAGGAACCCTTCGTGTGCACGTGAGCCTTGAGGATGCTGCTGGTCTGACCTGTAAGATTCTGCTACAGACTCCCTCGCCTCTGCACCCTGGCCTGGCAGCCGAAGGCCGTCTGGATGTCCCTAGCCTGGAGCATCCTGCCACAACAGTCCACACTACCCAGCATACAGTACCGCAGAATGTCTACAGCCAAGTTCATGTTCCTCACAAAACCCTTGCAGGCTGACTCCTACTGGGGACTGACAAGAGCAAGACAAAGAGGGACACTAGACAGGCTGGGACAGAGTCAGAAGGGGTCAAGCAGGTATTGCAGAAGCCAAACTTGGCAGACCGACCAATGATTAACAGAGCCCAGTCAGAAATGCAATATAAAATGATGGAGCAATGATTTAATGACATAGGGAAATAATATGGAACAATCTGGTTATTAGTAGTAGGCAGATGACTTCACTTTTGATAAAAAAATTAAAAAGTATAAATATACATATAAAAATCTGGAAGGTCACATCTCAAAATATCAACAGTATTACTTCTGTCCAGTGATTATTCTTCCTTTGCTTTTGTGTATTTTTTGAAACATAACTGTTTCTGAAACAAACAGTACTGAAGAGACAGTTATTTTATGCCAGGAGTTGGGAATCCAAGAAGCCAAGCCAGATGTTTAGGAGTCAAGGTCTGAAACGCAGACGCGCAGCCGGGACAATGCAGTGGTCATGCAGTGGTGGACACTGTTCTTCTCTTTTTCCACTGTCGTGCCGCTCATCCAATTCCTTTCTCTACACTTGATGTCCTCCGCACAATTACATTTAACAGGACTTTCTGAATATTAAATAGTATGACAGCAATTGGAACTCCTACTACATTTAGCTACTTTGGAGTTATACACCACACAAAACTGACTAGAAATCAAGTGGTCCTACACAAAAACACATTCCTGTGTTTTGTTGTTTTCATTTCAGTTTTCACTACACATGTATTTTTTGTTTCACAGACCTAGAAGAGGTAATTTTTTTCCTCAAGCACTGTTTCAGACTTGCTTTTAAATCTACTGATATCTGCCCTTGTCTTTTGAGTATGCTGCAGAGTTGGAAGGTTTCACAAAAATCCAAATCACGTCATGATGAACTTAAATATCTCCTTTCCTTCCTCCCTCCTTCCTTCCTAAGGAAAGCTTGTTGTTTTAAAGCCAGGAGCATCAAAACAGCACCTCTTACCTACAGCTGCTTGTGTGTCTCTCGAAGTGTTCTGCCCTTTCGAACTGCAGCATTTTAAGGAATTGCTCCAAATCCTTGAGGTCCAAGACACAAAACCAAAGGGTAAACCTATTTTCTTCCACATTACCACCACCTGTCTGGTATACTAGGTCCCTCTGCATAGTAAGGTAGCATAGCAACACTGCCACAAACATCTTCATGTAGCCAGAAGGAAAGGTACAAAAAAAAATTATATTGGTAGTAAAACAGTAACAAAAATTTTTGCAAGGAATATTTAAAATAAAAAAATTGTATGCTCACAGCAATGATAAAAAGACTTGATGGGCTACAAAAATTTCTTTGTAAACGAAAAAGAATTCATTTCAGGAGGGTTACTCTAGATCAAAAGAATTTGTCTTCAGTGAGAGAACTGCCTGGTGCCTGATGATTTCCTGCTAATGTGTTTAAAGATTTTGGACTTCTCGACTTTCTTGCTTTTCTGGTAGCCGAACCCGCCGCCGCCTCCTCTCTTCCTGTGCTTGCCTTCACTGCTGTTCACGTCTACAGGTGCAGGTTAAGGAAATCAACCAACCAAGGCGATGCGCTGCAATCTAACATCTACACAGAGAAAAACCACCAAGCACAGCAGCAGTGCCCTCGACCACGCCCCTTCCTGCAGAATGGAAATGTGAGGAGATAAGCTTGTGACACAACTGCACTGTACCAGGCGTGGCCACGTACTATGGACTAAAATGAGCAGGTTAAGATTTCAGAGCTGAGTGTAACAACTCTATTCATCTTTTTCTCCACCCAACAAAATTCAAGACAAACATGATAAAGTACCCTCAGTGTCACAATAAACTTCCATTTCTGCTGGAGCGGACTCAGGAACACAGTCCAGTGAAGGAGCTTCCTGTCCCAGGCAGCAAGTACCCACTACAGCAGACATTTACCCAGTGTCTACAGGCGATGGCAGCCCTGAATTTGGTTCTGCCCCCTTGCGAGGTACTGCTGCAGCATTAAGAATGGGCCTGTCTCAGGGGTCTGTTTCTTCCACTGAAACATGGTAATAAACACACTACAAATTGCAATAGAATCAACTGCAAGTACTCCCTTTGCCTTTTATCTTTAGTAACACGTTTTATTTTCTTTTGCCAAATGTTTCATTTACTTCTACAGTTACTCCTCGTCTAAGGAATGCTTAGACTCACAACCCGTCTCTTTTCTTGTACGTGTCTGTACGCCTTTTTTATAGATCCTTGATGATATTTTTTATAACAGCTTGTTTATACAGTACTGTAATTTTTGCTGACTGTCCTGTACAGGACAGTACTGTAGTTCTATGTTCTCTTGTAGTACTGCATGTAAGAGTTATACAAAGAAAAGCAACACTATCAGAGTTTCCTTTGACTATTCTTTTGTTCTGAATACTGCAATGTATATACTGTACGCAATTCCTTGTGGAACTGGAACTCAGTCGTTAAACAAGCAGTGTCTGTATAAAATTCTATTTGCTCTACGGGGTTTTAAACTTGGAAAGGTCCTGTCCTTTCTTTTTAGCCCTTCCTTCAAGTATCTGGTACAGTGCAGCCTTAGCAACCACCTGAGCTCTCACTCATCTCTGTGCTTCTGCTAGGAACAAACAACTTACCTCTGACTCTTTCTGATAGTCACAGTCCTTCATCTTTCTTAAGGTTTAAGGCATTAGTTGCTTCGTTCCCGTAACCCCATCCTGATAATTAACCCCTGCCCGCCCCCATGTCCACGCAGGATGAACCAGAGCCTCTGGTTGGCAACCAGAGCACACACCTACCTGCTGTTAAGCCCAAAATGTCCCCCTGTCGGGCTTTTGTTCCTTGATTGCAGGGTGACTTAGTAACCATAAAAAGGATACTGAGATCAACAAAAGGAGGCACCTTGAAACCAAATGACAGAGCAACCTGAGGCAAATTTAGGTTATTGACATCAAAGATCTGCTTCAGAGAATGGGAATCATATGCTCGTATGTATGACTTGTATGCTTCCTGGGCTGATTTATGAAGGAAGTAGTTCTTTTCAATCAACTTTTCAAGCTGAAATAGAAAGAAACATTGTACCTTTGAACCCAAGGTCTTTACACTGAGCTATATCCCCAGCTCTTTTTTATTTTTTTTTTAATGTTAAAACAGAGTCTTGCTAAGTTGCTAAAATGCCCAGCTTCAGTCTCCTAGAGTGCTTTCAATTCTTCTGCTTTGGTCTCCCAGAGTGCTAGGACTGTACGATGCTACACTTGGCTAAACATGTTTTAATAAAATAAAAAAGCAGAGTTCAAACATCACAAAACTTTATCTTGCAAAAACTGTTGTTAGAACCATTTGTACTAGGCTTGGATTATTTGCAGAATGATGCCGTGGTTAGAATAATGCTCAAGTTCTCAGAGCCCTGGGCTAACAGAAGGAAGAGAGCACGCAAAGAAACCTTAAGGATCACACAGTGTAGGTCCCTCCTTACAAAACGGCACTCAGACGACAGCGCCACTCACTGAAACACAAACACATGCTAACACTAAAGGGGTGTCGGGGGAGTGTACCTGAGACTGAATGTCAGAAATTTTAGACCAGGAGAAGTCAAATTCACTTAGTGGAACCTAGAAAACAACAAAATAAAGATTAATAAACTAGGGTGATTAACATTCCGATTCTCAGATGAATGAATAAAGTGAAAAATGTCCCATAACCAGTGAGGGAAGTTGAGAGGAACGAGGTCCCCGTACTTTTGATATAGCTCAGCAGTTCTTAAAAACAGACAGGATGCCCAGGCCTGAGGAATTCTCTCAGGATAGGCAGTGAAATCTTTCTCCAGTCTCCCTACGTCAATGCAGAGTTCCGGCTCTGCTCTGCTAAGTTCCCATGAGTCATGCCAACGAGCCTCATCTCTTCCTAATTAGTAAGACGAGTAACCAAACGGGACCCTGAGTTAGTGACGCATTTCTCTCTGGTGCCCTCTATGATGCTGGTTATTTGGACTGATGAACCAGCCTACAGTTTCTAGATAGAAGGACCATTAGCCCTTTTCCTCCATGTCACAAAAGGCCTCAGTACCATCCTGTGTCCTGAGGAAGGAGGCTGTGACACTAGAGGCCATGATGATGACAAACTCCTGTAAGAATAATTTGTCATCAGTCGTCACTTACTAAATAAACAGAAAAGCACAAGGCCTGTGCTAGCTAGTGGGAAAAAAGTAGTGCCCAAGTCCTGGACCCTGCCAAGACAGCGTGCTTGCAGCTTTGTGGAGAGCACAGGAAAATGACGAAACAACTCAAAAAGCATGTGTGCTGGCAGGATACAGGGGGCAGGAAAGCAGAAACAGCTTCACAGAGGTGAGAGCAGCTGGCTGAAACCAGAGGATTCAGAAGTAGGAAACTAGAGAAAGTGTGCCAAGGTTGTAGGGAAACTTCAGGGAACTGCAGTGAGTTCTAGGGCAGAGGAAACCTGCTTAGTAAGCCTATGTCTGGAAGGCTGAGGTGGAACCCAATGTCATGGAAGAGAAGGCCTGACACTCATCCGCATGGCCTGGCAGCAAGGAGCCACTAAGGCTTTGCGATTCTGTGCTGGTAGGTGGAATCAGGCCAAAGCCAGATCAAGTGGGTGGAGCACTGAGTGGGAGCTAACTGGAAAAAATATAAACCAACTTTCCCAAAAAGGCAGACTGGGGAAAGGCAGCAGGCAGTAGCTATCCTGGAGGCACTGGCAGGAGACTGGGTTTCACCCTCAATTCACACTTTACAGGGAGATGAGGTGGTAAAGCACTAACTACGAGGGAGCGTTAAGGGCAGAAGCTGACTGACAAAGGGACAAAAGGAGCAGAAGGAGGGGGCAGAGGCAGAAGTGAAGGGGATCCCATGGCTTTATATAAGGCAAGAACAGTCACCAGGAGGAGATGGCAGAGCACAGACGTGTGGGTGAGGGAGCCCGGGCAGTGGAGGTTGAAACAGGGCTACCAGGAATGGGGGAGGGGACTCTAGGACACAGAGGCATTGCTGAGCAACACAGAGCTAGAGGGCTGGGCCCGAACCATGGAAAATCTTCTTTGCCTGTGATATGACCTTTAGCAATGCCTTGACTCAAGACTCTCCCACTACGTCTAAAAACGGTGCCTGCTCACAGCCCCTACACCAAGAGGACTCTTGCCCCAACCTAATATTCCCCATGCAAAGTTCTTTACCTTGGACTGCTTCAAGTAACGAAGGAAACCCAATTCTTCTGGGCGCAAAATGAGCAAGGCATGCCCTCTTCCATTTAGGCCTCTGGCTGTTCTGCCCACACGGTGAATATATTCCTTTGGTGGAGAAAGAAAACCTGGGTGAAGGGACCAACTTTCACAGCAGCCTGGGCAATAAGGCTGTACTGTGCATCTGCCAAAGAGGGCAAGACGCAGGCAGCACGGCTGTATGGAGGGGGGTGCCACAGGGCTGGGGCACTCACCTTTACCGGGTCCTACAGGGTTAGGCTGGAAGACCTTTTGCCAACACTACCCCTAAATGCTGACAGGTCAATGACCAAGGCTGCACACCATGATGACATTAGCACTGTGACCTAATAAATGAGTCCTAAGTATACTTCATCTTCAAAATGGCTCTAAAAAATGTCAATTTATTAGATCCCACTGTTTGCTGAAAATAGTTCTTAATGAAGCTTATTCTACTATAAATGTTCAATATTTTTATCTACTTCTTAAGCAACAGTTACTTCCTTCAGACATCTGCTGCTCTGACTACATCACTCCAAGGCTGTAACATTCTTCCCGAGACCCACTGATGCTTCTCAAGCTCAATGCACATCCCCTTCTGGGCTTGCAGTGTCCTAGGCAATGAACTCCAGAGCAGTTCTGCAGAGCGGCTTCACAGAAGGGCTAATCCTTATGGACATGAATGTGTTTCTCAGGGAACCGGGACAGTAAGTGCATTCTTTAACAAGGAGCCATTCTGATGACACCTCAGGATGCCAGTTACCTTAGGGTCATCTGGAGGGTCATACTGAACGATCCAGTCGACTTCAGGAATATCCAGCCCTCTCGCTGCCACATCTGTACACAACAATATCCCTGAATCTGCATTGCAGAACTGGAAGAATGTCGTTGTACGCTTATTTTGTTTCTGCTTCCCCTAAAGAACAAAAAAATCCATTAAGAAAATTCTTTCTGGGATGCGTGGATATGCGTCCCCCCAAACTGTGGATTTGTTACACTACTTATTTCAAGCTTGGGCCAGGGATATAGCTCAGAGGCACAAGCGCCTGTCTGGTAAGTGCAAGGTTCCAAGTTCGGTTCCTGGTACCACAAAAGAAAAAAAAAACAAAAACAAACCTCAGTTCCTGGCCTATGCCCTATAGGCCCACTGGACTGCAAGCCTCTGGAGAAGATGGGTGTCCTACTCCTTTATAGTCCACATGCAGCAGAGCTCATTCTCTACAGGACTGATCACCCAAAGTGAGCCAATGACTCAAAACTACACTTAGGAGACAGAGCAGCAACTCCAGTTCCACAGTCTACAGAACTTTACAGGCTTTACTTACTTTTAAATAAACTTCATACAATGACTTACATGAATGGCCAAGACAGGCAAATCAATGTAGTTCAGCAATTCGTAGTGGTATTTCACGGACATACAGGATGAAAAGAAGACCATGAGCTTCTTCTTTCGGTTCTTCTTAAGAAATGTAAAGAGGAGAAGGAATCTCTTTTCCGAAGGACAAACAACGTATCCCTAGAAATGGTTTGGGTAAACAGATACAATTAGTCAAGTGACACTTTCAGGTTCACAAACCAATACCGATAGAGAACACTGGCAAAAACAGCCCTGTACCATGAGGTTTTCCAAACCATGGATGGATGTTATTTGTTGTGCTGGAGATGGAACTGAAGGCCTGGCACATGCAAGGCATTGCTCTAACACCGAGCTGTATCACCGCCCTTCCTGCAGCATTTAAACGCTAAGCCAACTGAACATTTCTAAGCTACACCAAGTGACAAGAAAAATATTCACGAAGAGACTCAATCTTTCAACCCAATTTGCATGTAACGTCTTCTACTGTTCACAGCGATGCACATCGAAGTGTCTTTCTATTACTCAACTCCCCTTGAATGTTATGGAGGCTAAGAAAACCTTTTCTACTTAACTTAAAGTAGAAATGATTACTGAGAGTGATTAATAATTCTTCCCGTATGATAAGCAGTATCAACAGAGCAGAGAGCTGACCACGTTATTCAGTGTTTATGGTATTTTATACCAGGAGACTCAGAGACCCAATACCCAACTTCTACCTGAATTCAAAATTCATTAGCCTATTTGCTTTTTGGGTGATTTCTGAACAATTACAAGGAAACATCAAATAAAAGCCTCAAGTTTCAGGTTATTTATTTTAAAAAGTACCTGCTCAAGACCATCCACTGTGGCATTAGTTTTGTCATCATCCACGCCAACATACAATGGCTCCTTTTTCAAAGAAATCCTTGCCAGGTCTTCAACTTTTCGAGTTTGTGTGGCAGAAAAGAGCATGGTCTGTCTGCGTACTGAAACAGACACATGTAAAAATAATCCGCATCTTTTAGGGAATCTTTATAATTACTTCACAATACAAACACAGCTACTATGGACTACACAAATATTACAAAGGGTGAACTTTATGTCTAAAACTTTGATAGCTAGGATGCACACAAGATAGGGTACAGGGACAGTACACAGATCAACAGTCTCCTGGGAGAAGTGACTTGTGAGGAGGGAAGCAGGGAAGAAGGGAACAGGGTATCAGGAAACTTTTGGGGGTGAAGGACACATTCATGATTGCAGTAATGGTTTCCAAGGGGTAATTAGGCCGAAGAGCATCAAAAATTGTAGATTTTAAATATGAACAACTTACTATGCAATTATACTTCAATACAGCTTTAAGACACAAATCACACAATGAATGGCACAGTGGCTTTACTAAAGATAAACAGTTTAAAATGTGACAAGATTATAGGTGAGGTAATGTAGAAATCAAATATAACACAGAAGGCAATGAAACTGGCCACTTGGGACATGTTAGATAAGGTAGGAAGAGGTAAGATGTCAGAGGAGGGAGTGAGACATATATTAAGACTGCTCAACCTGCATTATAATCTGTGACACAGCTAAATAAAATTAATAGTAAGTCTAATGCCTGTCTTACAGTTTAGCTCTAAGATCAACTGGCAGACCCGCTTCATTTGCTATTATTGTAACAGTTTTCCTACAGGAACATCTATCACTTGTTCTACTTTGCAAGCCACAAACAGATGCTACCTACTTACCTGGCAGAAGTTTAATAATTTGCTTTAATTCTTCTTCGAAACCAACATCCAAGATACGATCTGCCTCGTCAATAACCAGACACTGTAGGTTTTTATACATAAACCCTGGGGTATTCTAACAAAACAAATGGGAAGAAAGACTGTCAGTTTTCAGGTTTATGTTTCCTACAAGACCCCGAGAAGCACTACGTAACAGCGTCCTACTTGCATATGATCCAGCAGGCGGCCTGGTGTGGCCACAATGATGTTGATCCCATTAACAAGTTTCTGGGCTTCTGCAGATCTGTTACTGCCACCCATGATCAAGCCATACGTGTGAACGTGGTGAGTCATCAGCTCCTTAAGAACACCAAACGTCTGCATGGCCAGTTCTCTCGTAGGGGACAGAATAAGGGCCCCTGTTCCTAAAGCCAGAAAAGGTAAGATGGTTAGTCAAACCACAAGTCCCTGAAAGCCACAATAAATTTCAAGTGATACAATGACAGAAAAAGACCAGCTTACCATTCCTGGGCATGAACTTTAACTTAACAATGAGTTCAATCACAGGGATGAGAAATGCAAGGGTTTTGCCACTGCCTGTTTTTGCAGCTGCTAAGAGATCCCTTAAAAAAAAAGGAAAGGAAAAAGACATACTCATTCAATAATTACTTAATGAACGCTCAATTTGCACTATGCACACGCTTTAGGCACTAAGCTAGAACGAGAAGAACAGTCCATGCTTCCCCTAACACCAGTATCATCTCCTTGGGTTATATACCCAACTCAGAAATAAGAGCCATGCTACAGAGAAGTGCACACTTTGCTTCATGTATCAGATAACCTGAAGCTTCCAATCCAGGCTGGGTACATGACCTAACATACACTACAAAATTAATAAAACATACTGATACTTTCTTTATAATCTCACAACAATAGAAACAGTTATTAACACCCAAGCATCATTATTAATCATACCTGCCTTCCAGAAGAGGTCTAATACTTTTATGTTGAATTTCAGTCATGTTTGTGAAACCCATTTCTTTTATTGCCTTCAGAGTGTTTTCATTGACAAGATCAGCTAGAGAAGCAAAAGAGGTATCCTCAAAAGCTCCTGTCAGTCCCAGGGGCAGGCTGGGCAATTCGCTGTCACCTTCCTCACCATCTGACTTCCCCACACCATCTTTTGTTTGTCCAGGAGTTTCCATGCTTTCTTCAGTTTTTGCTTTTTTTGTATCAGGTCCAGCATCATTCACTATTTTTCTTTTTTTCTTCTTTTTCTTTTTTGATACGGAGTCAGGAGACTGTGTTGCTGCTTGTCCATTGGCTAACACAGTAGATTTGTGGGGGAACTTTTGAACTTTGACATTTTCCACTGTCTCTTCAGGCTCATCTCTATTTTGAGCATCTGACAAGCCCACATTCACAGAATGTTTTGGAGATTTTTTAACTTTTCTAACGCTCCCTGTCTCTTTAGGCTCATCTCCATTTTGAGCTTCTGACAAGCTGGCAGCCACAGAAAGTTTCACGGATTTTTTAACTTTCACAACTTTCCCTGCTTCTTCAGACACATTTCCATTTTCAGCTTCTGACAAGCCCACATTTGTAGGCTGTTTTAGGGATTTTTTAACTTTTTTTTTGACTCTTGTTGTTTCTTCAGGTACAATGCCATTGTGAGTTTCTGACAGGCTCGCATTTGAGGCTCCTGTTTAAAATCAGAACGTATACTATGAGAAGGGGCAGGCTTATTCGAGACATTACAATCCCACACAAGAAACTGCATGACTCAAATTACATTTTCCTTCACTTTCACGTTCATTGTTCAAATTAATTGAAATTTTTGGTGTTCTACTAACTAAAAGTAAGCTTTCTTTGAGGAAAAATACTGAATGGAAAAGGGAAAGCTGTACTGATTTCTTAATTTCAAAATATCTTATCTATCGCCAAGGAGGAGCTGGGGATTTAGCTCAGCGGCACAGCCACTTGCCTGGCAAGCGCAAGGTAGTGAGTTCAATTCCAGGTACCGGAAAAACAAAACAAAACAAAAAAGAGCTTTGTCTATCGCCAAGGAGTTTGGGAGCAGAAAACTTCAGTGAGGTCACAAACTTATGGGACCAGACAAGGGCAATAACAAAAATATTCTTAAGTACTTGATAAACATAATGAATTAAAGACATTTACATCTTATTTATACAACTGCCACTTCTATAAGCTCACAACATTCAACCTTAACTCTTCTAGTATATAGTGAATTGAAAACTTCATGAACTAAATTATTTGTCCAATATTTTTCATATACAAATACACAAGAATATCTTACTGAAGTGTTTGTCTACATAAAGTAAGAAAATACAATAAAACCACCTTTTGTTCAGATTGTTACCTATGCCTATACCAAGAGATGGTGAGCAACGTTAAGTATTCTACACGAACTAGAAATACAAGGGGACTCCAAAACACAGCGCTAAAACCCACAAGCCTATTTCCTACGCCAGGATTTCTTTCAATCAGTTAATGGTTGCTGAAAATCACTTGGGGCAAGGAAATATGCCTTGGACATTTCCTCGGGGACGTGCACGGAACCTCGACAGCTGACACATCAAGATCTCCGGTCCACTGCCAGGAAATTAGGACTGCCAGATGAGGTAAGAAAGGTGCCACTTAGGTAAAAACCCTTTCGAATTAAGTCACTCTGCAGAACACAAGTATGGAGAAACTCTCAAGGAATTAAGAACCTACAGCAGGGAGTGACAAGAACAGGCGGCTGGAGAGGCTCAAGTTCACGTGTGCACACGACACCGAGAGCTGTGGCACTTAAGCCTTTGGGGGGAAGAAACACACGAACAAAACACACGGTAAGACCGGAAGATGCGCCGAGATCAAAGTTCCACTAGTGTTTGGGATGGGGAGGGAAGGGGGACGGAGCGGGCCCGAAGTCGGTGAGCGAGTCAAAGTGGACTAAGGTGCAAAAGGCAAGTTAGACGGAAGCCCAGCCGTGAGCATGGAAGGCAGGCCTCTCGATCTAACTCCGTGGTTAGGGACGCATGCGCCTCCGGCCCACGCAGACCTGGGGCCACAGGGAGGAGCAGCAGCGAGGGCCGGTCTGGCCGATGCCCGGAACTCCAGCTCGGCCCCAGGTCGCTCGCGCTCCGCGGAAGCCGCCCGCACGCGCCGGGCCGCGACTCGCAACCTGCGCCGCCATCCGCAGCCCCGCCTCAGCCACCGCGGTCAGCGCAGCTCACCCAGCAGCTTTAGGTTCCGCTGCCGCAATTTGAGGTTCCGCTTCTCGATCTTCTTGCGCAGGAGTTTCATCTGCAAGTGCGACATTCTGGCGGAGAAACGCCTTCACCGAGGTGCCGGGCTCAACTCTCCCGGTTGACGTTACTTCCTTTAGGGACACACGTGCGCGGCTCGCGCAACAGGAAATGCGTCATAGGAACGAGTGAGCCCGGCGGGGCGGAAATGATAGGAAATGTGGTCTTGGGGACCACGTCTGTGCAGCGCCCCCTAGAGCAGCGGAGGTCAGGCGGTTTATGGGGTTTGCCTTGTGCTGGAGCTTGCTGTACATTTGGGTTTGGGGAATTTGACAGTTTGAATTTCCTCTGGACGGAAACGGAATCAACTAAGTGGAATAATCATGTGCCTCTGAAAATCCTGTTTCCCACTGCAGGAGCCTATCCCAATATCTGTTGAAGTTTTTTTGGGTATGTTTGCAGTACACAATGATTATATTCATAGTGGGGAGTTGGTACCTGTACGTACATAGCAGATCTTTTTTTACTTCCCCTTTCCGTTCTCTCCTCCATCTCCATCTCTTGGACCCCTTCCCATTTGAAAAGGAGATATGCTCCTATTTCCTATTATCTTTTATTTTGCTCTTAAAGTATTGTATTTTTACTTTGGAGTTCTCATGAGAAATCGTGTAATATTTAAACTTGTGTGCCTGATTAAGTTCACTTAATGTCATGGTCTCAAGGTGCATCTGTTTTCTTACAAATGAGTCAAATTTGTCCTTCGTCGGGATTTTTCTTTTCTTTTCTTTTTTTCTTTCTTTTTTTTTTTTGGTCTTTTTGAGACAGGCTCTGACTGTGCAGTTCAGGCTGACCTTGAGCTCACTTTGTAGCCCAGGCTGGTCTCAAACTTGAAATGAGCCTCCTGCCTCAGCCTTCTGAGTGCTGGGATTACAGGTGTGCACCATCATGCCTGGCAAATTTATCCTTCTTTATGGCAGAGTAGTACTGCACTGTGTATAAATACCACATTTCCTTTATCCATTCATCTATTGATGGACATATAGGATTTATCTATTATGAGTTGTGCTGCCATAAACATGAGTTTGTATATATGACTGTGACATGATGCCTTTAACTCAGGAAGATAACGACAAGGGAAATACGTGGGTTGAATGGAATTTCTATTTTTAATGTTTTCAGGACTCTATACCAATTTCCATAGGGGTTGAACTAGTTTAATGTTCCCACCCATATTTAAGTCTTTAAAACTTTTTGCTTGGACTTAACACAAAGACATCTCTCTGCAGAATATAGTCATCCACCAATTACTCATTCACCAATTAGTTTTTGGCATATTTGTACTAAGAATGTGCTAAATGTTGGGAATTAACTATTGGAGAATCACAGAGCTTCCACAAAGAAAACAGAAAATTAAAATTATAGTAAACTATGATGGATATAAAGAAGCCAAAGAAGCATGATCAACATGGAAAGGGGACCAAGGATAGAAGGTTTCGTTCAATACCTGTGCACATGGGCACTGTGCTAGCACCAGGAAAAGGGAAGGAAGATGCTGTTTATCTGCCTATTAAAGTTCTTAAATTTAACACAGACTTTCATTCACACCTGAGATCCTTAAACCTCAGACTAGTGTTTGTGAAATAGAAAGTGATTTGTGCAGTATTTTCCCATCAAATGCAAAGTGCTCCAATTCTCTGAGCACTGCACTAGGACTCTTCAAGTGGTTTTCTAAGAACTTTCCAGTGCTGTTTCCTATAATATTAAACACTCTACAGTGTACAGGAGCTTTAAACGTGTTCTGTTTACTGTTAATAAGGAAGATGTTTATTCCTTCACATTGGCAGCTGAAGCATGAACAGAATTTGGTTGGGGAACGGTGTAAACCAAGATAGAAGGTCGAGTTGTGCTTTCTCTCAACATGGAAGTAGACCCATTAGCAGCCTTTAGCTTTGTAAATCCTGGTGAAAATAAGGAGATGTGGAAACATCAAAAGGTCCTTCAATAAAAGGCAGAAATTAGGTGATGTGGTGAGAATTTGTGTTTATGAGTAAAGTGGGAGGGACTGAAATTTTGTTTTTGGAGAACTTGTGAGCAGCATTCAAAGCTGGACTTGATAAAAGGGAGAACTGAGACCAGCTGGTGGCCACTTTGGTAACCAGGAATAAAGTGATGGGCTTGCACGTGCCCATGGGGCCTCAGTTGCTTGCAGACCTGCCCAGTTGTAAGCCTCCTTACTTCTAATCATTCACCCAGGCTAAGCTTTAATGTATTTCCCCCTAGAAGATCTCCTCTATCCCCAGGCACCACCGTTCATGCCCTCCTTATGGCTTTCTCCATGGTGTGTACAATTTCCATTGTTGCTTTCTAAACAAAGAATGGCAGTGTACCTTTGTGAGTGTCTTTCTGTCTTTGTTTTGTAGTAGACTATGAGTTGCTAAAGCAGAGACATTGTCTTCAGATTTTGGAATTCTGCCTAGCATATGGCAGGCAGCTGAATATCGAGTCTCAATTTTGAATAAATTAGTAATAGAGAAAACAGAGTAAAGAAAGGGTATAGCTGAAAGATAAAATTGATAAGATTTACTCTCTAAAGGAAGTAAAGCTGTCACCTGTAGAATTGACGTATTCATTGAGAATGGAGTGAGAGAGATAAGTTGTTTGGGAGTAATAAATTTGATCTGGAGCAGCTCTGTGTATATACAAATATTTAAAAATGCATAACACAAATATATAATTAATATATACACATAAATACATAAATCAGGCATATCAATTTCTAGATATAATTTATATTCTTTATATAATTATATTCTCTGTATATAACACATATAATTAAGTATAATAATTTAATTCAGAAACTGTTATAGTTTCCTAATTAAAGCCTAAGTTTCAAGAAAAAAATAAAATACAGTATTTAAGGACTTAGAATTTGGAGTATGACAGATATAGGTTTGAACACTAGTTCTGCCATTTACTTTCTATGTGACTTTAGGAAAATATTTATCTTTTCTTTAAGTTTCACTTTTTAAAATCTACTTTAGGGCTGTAGTAATGATAATTATCCCATAGAGTTTTTAATGAGGATTTAATGAGATGGTATACATTAAGCACATTTACCGTCATGCTTAGCTTTTATTAAGTGACAGCTGTCATTATTCATCCCCACATGGTAGAATTAACAAAGAGTTATCAAAGAATTGGGAAGCCAGTTAAAAGCAGTAACTATGAGAAAGCCCTTGAGTTGAGGATTAGAATTGCTACTGGGGGAAAAAAATGAAAAAGGAAACAGATCCCACATTCATGTATTTACATTTGATTAAGTTAAACTGTATTCATAAAACATTTATTGGGACTATTTCTGTATTTTGTATAGGAAAATATGAGTTGAAATACTAACTATATTTATATGATTAATATAGAGCAATATGTTTATGCCATAGTTGCCTTCCTACGTCAAAAGAAACAATAAGTTTTAGCTTTGGGACCAGAAATGTCATTATTGAGATGAGTTATTTTGAAGTCCTATGCTGTAAATAGATGCTGTATATCCATTTTTAGAAAGCAGAAAAATATATGGCTATTATGTTAGATTTCTATCACTGTAACAAAAATATGTGATGATCAAATACACTCTGAATTTTTAAATTAAAAAAAATTATAATAAAATATATATTGCCATTAATCCCCCTCAAAATACTTAGACACAATTATCCCATTTTTTTAACCACTTTCTGGTGCAGTTCTAGAAGTCCTCTTTGTGTCTTTATGAAGTTTGATAAACATATAGTTAATGCTGCTGCTGAGTACTGTCTAACAGGAAGGAAGACTTTTGAAAATATTATGGTATGTCCTCATCTACCTTACTCATCAGACCTGATACCAGGTGATTTCTTTTTTTTTTGTTTTTTTGGTTTTGGTTTTTTGGTTTTTCTCCGGTACCAGGAACCAAACTCACGACCTTGCGCTTGCCAGGCAGGCTCTTTTGCCGCTGAGCTAAATCCCCAGCCCCTGATACCAGGTGATTTCTGACTCTTCCCCAAAGTCAGAATAACCATGACAGGTAAATGTTTACCATCAGTTGAGAACACTGAGGTAACCATGATATAGTGCAATTGAAGATACTCATGAAAAGAGACTTCCAGAACTGCTTCAGAAAGTGGAAAAAATGCTGGGATAATGTATTTGAAGCAAGGAGGATTATTTTAAATGGAAAATAGTGGCAATGTGACTTTTACTGTAAAAATTAAAAAAAATTAAACATTAGCCATAGTTTTTGGTCACACTGTGTCCAAGACAGTTTAAAAGGAGGAAATGTTTATGGTAACTCATGGTTTCAGGAATTTCAGTCCACAGTTGATTGGCTCCATCATTTTTGGTGAGGCAGGATGTCATGGTGGGGAGGAGGTGGCAGAAGAAAGCTGTTCATCTCACAGAGGATGAGCAGCTAAAGAGAAAAGGTTGAGGGGGGGTCCCAAAATATCCTGCAAAAGGACATGCTCTTACTGCCCTATTTCCTCCTACTATGCCCACCTTCTAAAGTTTCCACCACCTCCCAATAGGGCCACAGGTGGTGATCAAGCCTTCAACAGATAAGACTTTAGAGGCAAGTCCGGATCCCAACTGTAACAGTTACCAAAAGACAAAAGTAATCTCTTCCTATACCTTAGTTTAACATGATAATGAACATATGAAATTTGTGAGTAGCTAGTTTGACTCTCCAACTATGGTAGAGAACAACTTATTACAATTTTTCAAAGGTTTCTTTGCTTGGGTTCATGTAAAGATGAGCAGAGACTAACTCATCCTATCTGACAAGATATGTGATTTCTATTCCCAAACGGGAAGGTCTGGGGATGTAATCTCATTTAGGAAAGGCAGAGATAGTGTTAGAAGGATTCATAGAGTGTCAGAGTTGGATGGAATCTTGAGTTATTTAGTTTAAGCCTCTTAAAGTAAGAGCCCAGCTGAGCCCTGGACAGATTTGGGAGCCACATACCAGCCCCCCACCCTTGTGAGAGCCAGGTTGAGCCTCAAACAGTTTCAGAAACCTTGGTAAGCTGCCCCCACTCCTCGCCCACCAGTGTGGGAGCCAAGCTGAGCCCTGGAAAGGTTCAGGAGCATTAGAGACTGCACTGCACTCCCCCACTGCATTGTGGAAGTGGGGCTGAGC